GCTGGCTGGGGAATTCTGGGAGTTGAAGTCCACCCATCTTCAAGTGGCCAAGGTTGAGAAAACTGCCCTACCACAATGAAGTCACATTCCTGAAATCCCTACAGTGTCCGTTTCTTGATCTGACCTACCTCCAAGGGCAAGTGGACCATCCCTACCTGTACAGTTCATGTGATTTATTGTTATATTTTAAAACACTCTCCACCCTCGAACGAGTTCAGGAGGGCTTAATACAGGCTCTCCCAGATTATCCTCAAAACAACCTGGTGAAGTAGATGTACTGGCTCAAAAGAGCTTCACCACGAAATCTGAACCCCGGTCTCCGTGGTCCTCCTGATCCCTCACACCATGTGGACCAGTTGTGTTAATCATGGTTGGCTTAATCATGGAAAGCCCGTCTCCCTAGCCCAGACTTGTGAAAAACACGTGCGGCAAAGAAAAGTAGGCTTTGTACACGTTCAGGAACCTATTACATAAATTTACATAAATTTCCATAATTGATCGCCCTCGTGCCAAACATCCAGATAAATTTTGGAAGTCTTTTTAGATCTGTTTTTGTTTGACAGGGCTGGGGTGTTCTTTGCATAATCTAGGGCTGTTGCTGGATGAAAGAAATGTGGATAGGGGAAATGATGGACAGGCTAAATGCATATATTAATTAATATTAATTGCAGAAGAATTCAGGAAAACATCCTTTTATAAATATATTTAATGCATGCATTAAATTTGGAGCTGACTGTTGTTAAGAAGCAAGAAGGCATCCCGTTTTTTGGTTTTAGGCGGGGTAGCGTGGCAAAAACATCCTTTGCTAGCTGGTTGCATTTGGCAACCGCCATTTTGATGTCCCACAATGCCCCCAACGAAGCGTCGCTGCAAAGCATTGTGGGAAGAGTAAATAATCTTCTTCCTGTCGCAACCCAGATGGAGTGCCTGAAGCTGATCGCCTCCCACCGATTCCATGAGAAGCGGATTGGCTACCTCGGGGCTGCCCTTCTATTGGATGAGAAGCAGGACACTCACCTTCTCCTGACCAATAGCCTCAAGAAGTGAGGGGGTGACCAGATTTGGGGATCTCCCTTGCCCTAATGTGGGGGAGACCGGATCTGAGAAATCAAAATCAATCAACTTAGGGTCAGGACGTTGGAAGAGGGAGAGATTCAGATAGACTTCCCCAGAAGATGTTGGAGGAGGTTTTGAAGATCTGGAGTTTCGGAGATCTAGAGGGGTGTAGATGATCAGGGTCCTGCGTTATGCTAAGACCCAAGGCAGATGCTTGCTTCTGGCTTAAGGTTGCACCAACACAGCCATTGTGGTTTGGAAGCCTTGTTCTGTGGCCTTGCGTGTTGTGCAAACCCAGCTGAGTGGGGCTTCTAAGGGTGGTTAAACTGTGGCTTAGTGTAACATGCGAGCAGGGAACTGGATTTGAGGAACTCAGAGGCAGGGGTGTCCACGGGATGCGGTCAAAAAGCCAAAATGTGAAGAGGAGAAGGTTGTGAGCCAGGCAGATGTTTGTCCTGCTTTTAAGTATCATTGGCTGCTCTGTATTTAGGGACTCC